TATAATCCCAGCGAGTCAAGAGGCTAAGGCAGGAGGATCACGAGTTCAAAGCCAGCCTCAGCAAAAGTGAGGTTCTACCCACTTGAATCAAAGTGTGGAATATGATATGTCAAGAAATTTGTAATGTTTTGAACAACCCACAATAAAAAATTAAAAAATAAAAAAAAAATAAATAAAGAAAAAAAAAAAGTGAGGTTCTAAACAACTCAATGAGATCCTGTCTCTTAAGTTAAAAAAATTCAAGCTGTTTTTAATGATGTTACTCTAGAATGTTTTCTTTTCAGATGATGATTGAGAAGCTAATAAAAAAAACATGGTGCCAGGTATCACAACAGTAAAAAAAAAAAATCAAAATAGGGCTGGGGATGTGGCTCAATGATCATGTACCCCCAAGTTCAATCCCCAGTACCCCACCACAAAAAATAAGACAATGGAAAAAGAGCCAGTACCTTTCTAGATTTGAGGATAGCCAGTTGGTCCCCCAAAATGTGAGAGTCCAGCCAAAATGAATAAACCTACCTACCTAGCTCACAAACGACTCAGAAAATAATCCCAGAAGAGATGCTTTACTAGTGCATACGTTCCAAAGAAATAACACATGGCTATTGTTTTAATCTGGCCTTTGGTGTGGCTGCTTAGGCAGCATTTTTGTGGCAATAAACAACTGGTACAATATTTGCGGGTTAGAGTTTACCTGAGGATCACCAACTTGAGAACTTTGCTCACTAAAAAAATTTTTTTTTTAATTCAAGGATTGCTTTTATAAGTCTCGTTATGCATATGAAGTAGAGATATTTATCATAGCTTGCAAATGTTCTAAAATTAGTGTAAGGGGCTGGGACTATAGCTCAGTGGTAGAGCACTTGCCAAGCACATGTGAGGCACTGGGTTCGATCCTCAGCACCACATAAAAACAAATAAATGAAATAAAGATTAAAAAAATAGAATCATCAATAATATTTTTTATTCCAATATACATATTAATTTTTGCATTTCTGTTGAGACTTTATTAATGCACATATGTATTTACATGTAGTTCTAATAACAAAATGTTGCATTTTACTTTAATATTAGAGGGGAAACTATCATATTCTTACTTTATCCTCACAAGTATTTTAATGGCTCCATAATAGTTCTAATAGATTTACAAAAATTAATCATCTCAATTGTTAAAGTTAAATTGTTTTTTTTCCTATTATCAATATAATTTTTCTTCTTTTGGTATTTAAAAAAAAAAATTTAATTGTGGTTGGACACAATACCTTTATTTTATTTGTTTATTTTTACATGCTGCTGAGGATCAAACCCGGGGCCTCAAACATGCTAGGCAAGCACTCTACCGCTGAGCCACAACCCCAGCCCCTGTTATTACTTTTTCAGGCAATAGATTTTGTTGTTGTTGTTGTGTGTGTGTGTGGTACTGGGGATTCGACCTAGAGGCACTCTACTACTGAGCTATATATCCTCTGCCTTTTTTATTTTATTTTATTTTGAAATAAGGTCTAACTAAATTGCTGAGGTTGGCCTTGAATTTGTGATCCTCCTCCTTTGCCCTTCCAAGTAGCTGGGATTATAGGCATGCAAATAATCCCTCCCAGAAAATTTTTGTTAGTCATAGAGTTGACTTATGGAAATTTATCAGCTTTAACTGAATAGACAAAAGAAAGAACTTTCAGGTTTTAGTTCATGAACTGCTTGTACTGCTGGGTAAATACCATTTATTCCCTGGCTTCATTCTCCTTACTTTCCTCAAAATGTGGATATCCTACTATGTGATAGTGAATTTTCACAACTCCTCTTGCTATTTCTCTAACCACTCCTTTGCCCTTGCCTGTTACATGCCCAGGATTTTTTTTTTTTTTAAGAGAGAGAGAGAGAGAATTTTTTTAAAAATATTTATTTTTTAGTTTTCGGGGGACACAACATCTTTATTTTTGTATGTGGTGCTGAGGATCGAACCCAGCACCGTACGCATGCCAGGCTAGCGCGCTACTGCTTAAGCCGCATCCCCAGCCCTGCCCAGGACTTTTTATTTATTTTGAGACACCTTCACAAGTTGCTGGGATTGCAGGTGTGCACCACCAGGATGTGTGTTTTATATTTTTAAAGCATTATCAGGACTATAACTTTTTTTTTCTTTCCCTTTAGAGACAGTTACCAAATTCAAAATAGCACAGTTTTGGAGTTAGATAACCTAGTTTCAAATGTCAACTCCATTACTTATTATCTGTGAAATTTTGAATAAATTAGTAAAGCTGTCTGAAATTTTACTGACCTATCAAAACACCTATTTTTATAGGTATGTGGAAATTAAATAGTGAATACAAATAAATTAAGTACTACTGTTAGCTAACTCATTATAATAAATAATAGACATATTTTTGTGGGACTGGGGACTGAACTCTTCTGGGGTACTCTACCATTCAGCCACATCCCCAGCCCTTTTCTTAAAATTTTGAGACAGTCTTGCTAAGTTGCAGAGGTTGGCTTGGAACCTGCAATCCTCCTACCTCAGCCTTCAGGGTCAATGAAATCAATGTATCACCATGCCCAGCATAATAAACAATTACTAGAATAACAATTTAACATAAAAATATTAATAACAATTTAACATAAAAATCTGATTTTTATAGCATGTTATATTCAAAAAGGAAAAATTATTTTTGGGGGAAGGGATGAGATTTGAGTTACTGAAAATATGACAACACTGAGGACATTTTTTGCTAGATGGCTTTTTTCAGACTGATAAATTTGTTAAAGCCAAGATAAGTTTATACAATATGATATTCAAACCAATAATAAGCACACAAAAAATTCATGAAAATGATACATTTGAGCCACTCATTCATATTTTGAAAAAAAATTAAAATACTGCTTTTAATCAAAGAAATTTGGTTTTGACTAACTTAGTAACACCAAAAACCAAGTGTCTACACTTTAGAAGAACCCAGCAAATGTCCTGGAGAAAATGTTAAATGAAAAATAAGACAGGACTAGGGGCTCAATGGTAGAACCCATACCTCACATGAGGTACTCAATTCCAACCTGAATTCCAGGACCACGAATGAAACAACAAAAGTAATAAACTATAAGATCTCCTCAAAAAACAAACATTTTACAAAAACTTTTCCAGCAAGACAGTTGCCATCAAGTGTATCAAGAACAATGAATCTGTTGATGAACTGCAGTGCCTAAACGGCTTTAAATGGTTTATTATTTTACTTTTTTTTTTAGCCTTTATTTTATTTTTATGTGGTGCTGAGAATAGAATCTAGTGCTTCACGCCTGGCAGGTGAGCGCTTACCACTGAGCTACAGCCCCAGCCCCTTACTTTTAAAATTTTGAACAGGCAATTGAACCCAGGGTTTTGTGCATTCAAAACAAGCCCTCGGATGTATAACCAAAGTGATCCTGCAATCTGTACACGTGGAAAAATGAGAATTCATACCCTATTGGAATTAAATGTATGATATCTCAAGATCATTGTATTGTCTTGAGTAACTAATAAAAAAAAAAAAACAAAAAAAAAACCCAAGTCCTCAACCACCAAATTTGCATTCCCAACCCTTTATCATTTACTTTTTAGAAATTGCAACATCCCAGGATTTATAATGTCTCTTCTTCCACATGACAATATGGGGCGTTTCTTAAAAAGTAATGCAATTTCTGGGCTGGGGTGCCTAGCAAGTGAGAGGCATTGAGTTTGATCCTCAGCACCACATAAAAAGAGAAATAAATTTTTAAGAAGTTAAAAAAAAAAAAAACTTTTTTAAAAATAATGCAATTTCCGTAAAGAACCTGACGCTGGCTGTTGGTACTATCAGTTACTATGGAAAAAATCAGAGTTGCTTAAGACGCTCTAACATTCTTTTCCTTCCCTTCAGAAGTCACCCTGCAGGGCTAGATGTACCTAGCACAAGCTTTCCTAAAATGCGGAAGGCCTTGGATTTAATTCCCAGCACCGGGGGAGGGAGTCATCCTGCCTTACACACCATGAAAAACAACTAAATCTGAACCTTGTAACATGGCTCAGAGTATACTCCGTATTTACACTACGGTTGGATCTGACTTTAGCTTTTGGTTTAGCAGTTTGTGGCTAGTGGCACTTCTTTAAATGTTCCAATTCTCATAAACGAAAAAGTGGGTGGTGGTGGGCAATGGAAAGTTTTGATTCAAATGACGTCTGCTAGCTATCTTGGAAGGCTTTTTTTCTTTTTTCCTTCAGACCACGAAGACACAGGCACATGGGGATCTGCTTTCCCCCATATTCCACTCCTGAGTCAGGCCCCAATTCCTCTCACTTTCAATCCCACTTCGGGCTCCTAAAAGAATGCAAATGAAAATCTCATAGTAAAGACTCTAGAGCTCTAGTCTTCAAACGGGGTTCCGCTGGTTCGGAGAGGAAGAGATGATCCACCCACGCCTGCCTACGCTTCCTGGCCTTCACGATCTGACGCCGGGGCGAGCTTGGGCCTCGCCGGAGCCTAGGTGTGCGCGCTCACCGAGCTATGGCCCCTGTACAAGGGATGGGATCCGGGGCGCGTGCCGACACAGCGTCAGGCGGAAGATGCTGGCGCTGAAGACGGGCGGTTCCCAACGGCGTGAGTGGGGGAAGGGAGCCAGGCGAACCCGGAAGTCGGTCTGGCTGAGAGGGTGGAACCTGGGGGAGACTTCCGGTGGCGCAAAGGGTGTCGGGAGCAGCTTCCAGCAAACCTTCCCCGGCCTCTGGAGGGACCACCGTTGCTGTAGTCTTGGCTTCCACGACCTGCATTCGAGCTAAACGGCCACAGCTGCCACCACTGAGGCTTCTCTTGTGCCCGGTTTTGACCGTATTCGTTCCTAGGCGGCCGCCGCCGTTGTAGCTGCGGCCGCGGCCGACATGTTGTGAGGCGGCGGCGCGGGTGTCTGAAGGATGGTTTGGCTGAGGCGGCGGCAACGGCTGCTTGCGGCGGCGGCGGCGGCAGCAGCGGCGGCGGCGACGGCGGAGGCAGCAGCAACAGCAGCAGCAACAACAGCAACAGAGTCTCGGGCTCTGTAGAGCCGAGCCCTGTGGGTGTCTGCCCGGTACCGCGGCGAAGCCAGTTCCTCTGGATCTTGCCTTTGCGCCAGCAGTGTTGGGAACAGCTTAGGCGATAGCACCCACCCCTCTGAGGAGACAAGGAGGTGGTTCCCCATCCACTCAAAATTTCCAGACCACCCTTCGGTTCCCCTCCCTAAGCCGGACAGTGCTGCCCCCAGAATCTCCAAGCCCCCGACTTTACTCTTATCTAACTCGCCCTTAATCTCTCAGTCCAGTGTTCCTCGCCCTCTGAAGTCCTCTCCTCCCCCTTTTTCATTTTCTGTACCCTCTTCTAAGAGCGCCCCTCGGATCACTCTGAGGGCAACCTTTTGAGAAATCTCGGTGGAGTTGTGGACTAGAGCCGGGGAGTGTTTTAAAAGTCGGGTTAGAAAGACAGGAAGGTACGATGGCTTCCTCGTCTGGCAACGATGATGATCTCACTATCCCCAGAGCTGCTATCAATAAGATGATCAAAGAGACTCTCCCCAATGTCCGGGTGGCCAACGATGCCCGAGAGCTGGTGGTGAACTGCTGCACCGAATTCATTCACCTTATATCTTCTGAAGCCAATGAAATTTGCAACAAATCGGAAAAGAAGACCATCTCACCAGAGCATGTCATACAAGGTAAGTCTTTGTGTGGAATTTGGTTTAAATGAGCGTCCAGGGGGACAGTTTGCTAGTCGCCTAACTTGTTCGTTTCAAAAAGCCTTCATTCCTCTTCCTGGTAAGTAGGTGTTAAAGAAAAAGCCATACAAGCAAGGAGGCAGCTGATGCCTTAAGAAAATACCTATGTAGCATTTGGGGGGTAATTTTTATCCAGTGAATACAGGAGGGAATGCAAATATTAAGGTCAACATTTATCCCCCAAACAAGAGGTATCAGTACAATTTATCCCTAGGTCTCAAAGCAACAAGAATTGCCTGCCTGCAGTTGAACTTGGATGATGATAACTGAGAAAGAACCCAGGAGTTCTTCCTTTAGACAGAACATCAGGCAAGAGTAAAGTCGTAGCATTTCTTCCCCACCTGGCCTTTTCACGATGTAGAGGAAAAGATTCATTTTTTTGAACACATAAATTTTAAAAACTCAATATGAGTGTGTTCAGTGTTGTAAAGTTTATTGGTGTTGAATAAAGGAAGTATATTTTCTGCTTTAAATATGATTTGATGGTGGCACATTCATCTACAAGTTACCAAAGCACTCCTATTCTGTAAGAAAAAGGCTGTTCTCCTTTTCCTTCATTTTTTTTTCTTTTTGGTTTTATGTTGCTGGCTTTGTTCTTTAGAGATAAGTTTTTAAAGCTTAGATTGAAAGATTATTTAAAGGATGCTTTTTTTGTTTTTTAGTGGAACATTTCCCTATCATTGCTGCCATTCCTATTTGGAGGTAGATTCTTTTTTTTTTTTTTTACTCTCTCAAGCTTTTATTGAAAAGCACTTCTGAAAGTTTTGGCATTTCTTCTCCTGTATCTTGGAAAGGATAGTCCAATAATAGGGATTTGGGAGACTGTATTCTGGTGGTTTCTGGGAGGGAAGATACCAGTTGCAATGTTTTGGAACACACTTTCTGTGACTTTTCATACCCTTATGAAAAAGTTGCATTCGAGGTGATAACTTTTTTTGTAATAACCTAATTAAAATTCTAACAATTTCTTGATTGCTTTTGAAGTCAGAAGAAAATCATGTTCAATTTTAACCATATTAGTATGGAGGTCGTTTTTTTAATGGTTTAGCTTTCCTGTTATTGTCAAATGGAGAACACATCTGCTCATATTGACTGTGTCTACTATTTTACTGTCAATATTGACAAAAGATTAAAGTGTTTCATTTTTGATCCTTTATTAGGGTCCTGGAGGTAGATCTAAAATATTCCCTACTGGGCTGGCGATGTAGTTCAGTGGTAGAGCACCTGCCTATCATGTTCCAGACCCAGTACCTGGGTTGGATACCCAGCAAGGGGCAGGGAAATACACATAGTTTCTGCCATTTTGTACATAGGAGGAAAAACCCCTAGGAAGAAGCATATTTGAGTCTTACAGTGATTTTTACCCTCTACTTGTTTAGTGTGCTGAATAGCAAGTGAAAACCGAGTTGTCAGTTTTTCTACTTGTGTTTTAATTTTTACATAGTATGTGTGATTGCTGTCATAAATCTTTCACAAGATTATCCAACACAAATAGCTATAAGTTCCTTTTACAACTCAAAAAAGAACTTTTGGGCTGGGGTTGTAGCTCAGTGGTAGAGCACTTGCCTAGCACATGTGAGGCACTGGGTTTGATTCTCAGCACCACACAAAAATAAATAAAGGTATTATGTTCATCCACAAGTTTAATATATATATATATATATTTTTTTTTAAGAACTTTTTATCAACATTCCCTTTTTAATGAAAATTGCAGAAGATTTCAACAGGATCTGCCTACATTTGTTTACAGCACAAAAGTGGGGATCTGTTTAAAAATCTAATAACATTACAGTCTGTCTTCTTGGGAAGAGTTTATTCTTTTCTAGGTTATATTTAGATTTCTGATTGACATGATGGAATAAAAGTGCAGCTGTAGCAAGCCGTATGCTAAATAGTTCAACTTTGGAACATGTTAAATTCAGTATGAGTCAGAAAGTTACAGTGAAAGAAAATTTTCCTGTGTGTAATGAGGACAGTCTGTTAATTTAAAAAAATCAGGTGTTGACCTGTTACAGTTTTAAAAATTTACCAGAGCTGGGGATGTAGCTCAGTTGTAGAGTGCTTACCTTGCATGCACAAGGCCTTGGGTTTGATTCTCAACACCACCAAAAAAGAAAAGAAAAATCTCCAGTTTTTTTTTTCTTGTAATGTTGCTTTTTTTTTTTTTTTTAAACTGGGTATTGAAAGCCACGGAGACTTTACCACTGAACTATATTCCTAGTGCTTTTTATTTTTATTATTTTTTAAAGACAGGGTCTTGCTAATAATAATTTTATAGTAACAATTAACAGTATACATTTTAAAGTGATATGGTTCTCACATGTTTAAGTTTGGGCCTTCAGTAAGTTTAATTAACTAGACTGCTTCAGGCCATTTCCCTTGTTCAGTGTGATTTGGCTTTAACTGATCGCCTTAAGCATTCCGAGGCAGTTCTGTTAAATGCAAATTAAGGCTGAAATAATTTTATCAACCATTAAATCTGCGAAATACAGTAATTTAATTAAAACTTTTTTTCTGTTTTGATTATTTGAGTTTAAGAAAGTAGACTTGATATTGGAAATCATAGATTTCTAGAGGAAGTTATAAGCTATTAAAATTGTTTTATTACTGTTTTTTTGTGAACACCTTTTTTTTTTTTTTGGTACTGGGGAGTGAACCTAGAGCCTCTTTACCACTGAGCTATAGCCCCAGTTCTTTTTTTTTTTTTTAATTTATTTTTTAGTTTTAGGTGGACACAATATCTTTAGTTTCTTTTGTGTGGTGCTGAGAATTGAACCCCGTGCCTCATGCATGCCAGGCGAGCACGCTACCACTTGAGCCACATCCCAAGCCCAGCCCCAGTCCTTTTTATTTTTTATTTTGAGACAGGGTCTCAGTGAACTGCTGAGGCTGGCCTTGAACCCGAGATCTTCCTGCCTTGGCCTCCTGAGTTGCTAGGATTACAGGCATGTGCCCACCAGGTCCTGCTGAACACATACTCTTAAATAAGAGTTCTGACATGTTCTGTTGTGTTATGGAATGAATTGACATTTGGAGAATTTAAGGGCTGTAAGAATCTACACTGGAAGTTCTTTGGCCTTAAGCAAATCTGTTAATTAAGGTCTCTCCACTTATGTATAAATAATATTTGATGTGAGTTATAGCTTTCAAGCTTTTTTTTTTTTTAAATGGTTCTGAGAATTGAACCCAGGGGTTCTCTAACACTGAGCTGTAACCTCAGTCTTTTTATTTATTTATTTTTTTTTTTAAGACAGGTCTTGCTAATTGACTTTTAAAGACCTTTTAAAATTCTAGTCCCTCTTACACTGGTACTTTTGTAACATACAATAAAAATAGGTCCCTGGAAAATAAAATGAAAAGCATACATAAAGTTAAAACATACTTTTTTGTTATTAGGTTCAATAAACATAAAATTACTTTGTCAGATTGTTATAAACATTCTTAAATGCTTATTTTGAATTTCCATTCTTAACTCATTGCATGCAGTTCAAGCGGCAGCCATTACAAGCACATCTGATGCAAGTCTCTGGACCACACTTTGAGTAGCTTTGCTCCAAAGCCTAAATCATAATCTGTTTTGGAAACTAGGTGGGAAGCAATTTTGAAATTAGAGGATCTGCATGATTACAGAGAAGTTGTAATAATGAAGAAGGAGAATGATATATTGTATTCTCTAAATAGTCATTCATGTAGATTTTCCCTCCAAAGGGACACATGTAATTTGCACAATATAATTTATTATATCAGGTGCTTTTCAAGGTTGGATTTTTATTATTCTTTTTCTTAAAATTGATAATTTGTGGTAGGTATACTGGAGATGGAACCCAGATCCTTGTGCATGCTAAGCAAGCAATCTACTATTGAGCCCACATCTTTATTTATTTATTTATTTGTGTCAGGGGTTGAATTCAGGGGTGCTTAACCACTGAGCCACATCCCCAGCCCTTTAAAAAAATATTTTATTTATATATATTATTAGAGACAGGGTCTCACTAAGTTACTTAGGGCTTTACTAAGTTGCTGAGGATGGCTTTGAACTTGTAATCCTCCTGCCTTAGCCTCCTAAACTGGGATTACAGAAATGTACCACTACACCCAGCAAGCCCAAATCTTTTGTTTTTGTTTTGCTTCTATCACTCAACAATTATTTAGTGAATACTGCTAAGCACTTGCTTGGCATTGTGGTAGATACAGGTAGGATATAGATGGTGAATTATACTCTGCCATTGAAAGGTGTATTGGAAACCCCATGTACAATTCCCAGAAATACCTTCTCTGCCATTATCTCATTAGATTCCCAGGAATAGTGATATCATGGAGGATTTTTTTTTTTTTAATTTCTAAACTTTTTTATTTTTTTATTTTTTTCAACTCTCTTTTCACCCCTCCCCAGAAAGACATGGGTTGGTATAGCAATCATAAAAAGGAGATACAGGGCTGGGGCTCATCAGTAGTACACTTGCCTGGCATATGTGAGGCACTGGGTTCAATTCTCAGCACCACATATAAATAAATAAAAAAATAAAGGTCTATCAACAACTAAAAAAATATTTAAAAAAAAAAAAAAAGGAGGGCTGGGGTTGTGGCTCAGCGGTAGAGTGCTCGCCTTGCATGTGTGCGACCCTGGGTTCGATCCTCAGTACCACATAAAAATAAAATAAAATGAAGGTATTGTGTCCAATTACAAATAAAAATTAATATTAAAAGAAAAAATCAAAGGAGATTCAAACACAAGAACCAAAATGTCTCCCACACTAACACAAAAAACTGGGAATTGTACATGGGGTTTCTGAACAGGACCTGCAGCAGCTACTAATGTCCCTTTATGAGAGTCAGACATTCCTATTGATATAGTATATATATATATAGAGAGAGAGAGAGAGAGAACCTCATTCTGGAACTAATTTACAGGGACATCCCAACACCTGCCTACCTTCTCTAGCCTCAGAAAAATATCAAAACATACCCAAAGTGCACTTGTTTTGTTTATATCAAAACAGCTTTTCTTCTCCTCATCCCACTCTCAACACCCCCCGCCCCCGTTTTAAGATTGGCCTGCAAGTCTAGTTTAACCATTTAGTCATTTTTTATAGTTTATGAAAGTAAAATATACAGCAACTATTTTAATACATTAAGCACAAAAAGGGGAGTAAAGGAAGAAAACTAAATAGGAAGAAAAAGTCAGGCCACACTTTGGTTTGAAGGAGGGCAAGGTGGCTAAAGAGTACAGAGTGGTTGCAAGGGATGTGTTTCCTCTTCTGATGAAGAATTGGCAACCACCTGAATGACAGAGTCCAAAATGACACCCTTCTTTATTGTGTTTCTTAAAAACAACCAAAAATGTAGAGTAGTGGTTATGCCAGGGGCAGCACCAGTTTGGCCACCCCAGCAACCTACTCAGAGCAGTGCCTGAGTCCTGCCTTTCCCTTAAGGGAGCACCAGGGATAGAGTCATCAGACCAGCCTGCCTGCTCCACCTAAGCAGGTTAGGGAATTGAGGACGCAGTTCTGAGTGCATCTGTGTGTGCATTTATGATCACCTGGGTTCTGATGAAGAGTGTCCTGTTTTCCTCACAATATCTCCAGGACATCTACAATCAATCAGTTCAGCTGCAACTAGACATTGCTGTCTTCCCATCATAGCTGGCTGCCTTTTGCATGCCCCTTAGCATTCTGGAGGAGGGGGTAGGAGAGGGGAAGGGAGTAGTTCCAGGTACCCTCTAAAACCCTCTGAAGATGAAATGGAAGTGAAGTCATTTCACACACTTAGCATGCAGGACTGGCTGCCTGGGAGGTAGATGAAAGTGGGAAGGAAATGGAGAAGGTTCAGAAAGGAGGAAAAGGAAACAGGAAGAAACTAAGTGACACCTATAAGAGGGTAACTTAGTAAGACCCTATCTCAAAATAAAAGAAGCAGTGAAAAGGATGAAGTGATATGAAATCTACATGTAAAGAAAAGTCTTTCTCTGACAGATTAGAGAATCAGTATTTTAAATGCAACTTACTCCTTTATTTTTTTAAACTGTAGTACCTAAGTCCCCAGTGCCTGTCTCTGTAGTTCAACTCCACCTCACCCTTTCCAAGTATATGATTCTTAAGTCTTAAAAACTTTTGCTAGACTAATGAGTCAAGAAGTCATTTTGACCTATCTTTTTTTTTTAATTGTAGATGGACACAATACCTTTATTTCATTATTTTTATGTGGTGTTGAGGATCAAACCCAATGCCTCACATGTGCTAGGCAAGCACTCTACCACTGATCCACAACCCCAGCCCTTGACCTATGTTCTTATAATGTATTTTAAATGAAACGCATCACACTCTTCCATCCCCACAAACAAGAAAAAAGAGAATACTGATTTATATATTTTAAAAGGTACTATATATCATACTATTTTGAATGAAAAATGTGCTTTATCCATTTGAAGTATAGTCATTCAACAAATTCATGTTATAACAAAACTTGTCAAGAATATATTACTTTTGTGAAATAAGCCTATATTAAGATGATTGTTGCTTGGGGAAGTCTTTACCTTTTTTTGTTTTTTCAGTAGCTGCCTTATTATGTGTCTTTCAAGTTGAAAATGTGCTAAATATTTTTTTCCCCTCCTATATACCGTGGATTTTTCTGGGTGTAGTTTTAAGATACATGGCAGAGGGTAGCAGTCAGACTTCTGGGAAACAAGTGATGTGTATTTGTTTAACCCCCAAGTTGTTTTTTTTGTTTTGTTTTTTTAATTTCTCTCTTTTTCACTCTAATAAGATCCTTAGTGAGACCATCAACAATCCATAAGTTTCCTTTGTTCAAGTTCAAAAAAACCTTTATTAGTCTGCCAGAAAAAAAATGGTATAATTAACATATACAAATCTATGATGTTTACAGTACAACTAAACCTCCTTAGGTATGATACTACTGTATAACTTAAAAAACACGTACAATCTTAAATGGTGGCCCTGTTTAGGAGCCATTTCTGTTTATCTTTTTAAATTCTCATTTGTGTAAAATGGGAATGATTACAAATGATGAAAAATATCCCACTGTTTAAAAGATACTCTCTCCAGCTAGGTGTGGTGGTACATGCTTATAATCTCAGTGACTCAGGAGGCATCACAAGTTTGAGACTAGCCTGGGTAACTTAGTAAGACCCTATCTCAAAATAAAAGTTAAAAAGGGCCAGGGGGGTGTAGCTCATGGTAAACTGCCCCTGAATTTCACCTCCAGTACTGGGGGGGTGGGGAGAATACTATATTCACTTCTTAATATTTATTAGCTAAAATGTGTTTAAAATTTAGATTAAGGTCAATGCAGTTTTTTTAAAAAATCTTTTTAAATATTTTTTTTTAGTTGTAGATGGACATAATACCTTTGTTTTGCTTATTTATTTTTATGTGGTGCTGAGGATCAAACCCAGTACTAACATGTGCGAAGCAAGTGCTCTACTACTGAATCACAACCCCAGCCCCCATATAAAAAATAAAATGTGAGACAGGGTCTCACTAATTGCGGAGGGCCTCTCTAAGTTGCTGAGGTTGGCCTCAAAGATGCAATCCTCCTGTCTCAGCCTCCTGAGTTGCTGGGAATACGGGTATGCTTCACTGCACCTGGCTGGATTTTCTTAATGTCTAGTAATTTGTGCCATCTTGAAGGATTGTCTCTCTATTGTATTGATTTGTTAGTTCTGTAAATTTAATATTTGAAATTATAAATATATTTGGCTTGATTAATATGATGTTAATAAGTCCTGTACACTTATTAAGCTTCTCCTTTAGATGATTTTTTTTGGGGGGGTATCAGGGGTGCTTTAACTGCTGAGCCACATCCCCTCACCCCTTTATATTTTTATTTTGACAAGGGTCTTGCTAAATTGCTTAGGGCCTTGCCAAGTTGCTGAGGCTGGCTTTGAACTTGTGATTCTCCTGCCTCAGACTCCTGAGGTTTGTGCCAAAGCACCAGGTTGTCTTTAGATTTAAGAGAAAAAAGAATAGAGGGAAAACATTTCAAGTTGTTTGAGTGATTATTATGTGCTAGACATTTTATAAAATGCCTGTGTCGATTACTTGTTGATCCTATAATCCTAACACTAATAAAGCTTTAATAATATGTTATCTTGTTTTCTCTGTGGGGCCAGCCTTTGTTCTAAGCTTATATTTATATTCATTTATTCTTTACAGCCTCCTGATCCAATGATATGTAGATACTATTCTTTTTTAGAGGTGAGAAAACTGGGGCACAGAGGTGAAGGGGTTTATCTAGAGTCATATACCAACATGAAATAGAGTTTGGAGTCAGTTCCTGGCAATTTGACTTCAAGGGCCTACATACTTAACCACCATAAGGCCTCTGATTATAGGAAGATTATGATATAGATGCTATTCTTATTATATATGTGGAAGAACTGAAGCTTAGAGATATTAAGCAAAGTTTCTAAGGCTGTACAAATACTGTCACCTAGGTTTCAGTTCTACATCTGCTTGATTTCTTTTTTTTTTTTTTTAAACCTTTATTTTTATGTGGTACTAAGACTCAAACCCAGTGCCTCACACTTACTAGGCAGGTACTCTACCACTGAGGCATAACACATCCCCCATCTGTTTGATTTCAAAATGGGTAGATTACATCTGTCTGGGAGGATCAGGCAAACTTGATTTGAAGATGGGGTTTGATCTGTGCCTTGAATGCATTGTTGTTATCAGGGAATGTGGGAAACTCTGGTTCCTGTTGGGATTTAGCAGAAGTATGCAGAGATTTAATGGCATGATATGGGGGGCTAGATCCTGGAAGACCTTAGTTAGTAGAGGGTTAAGGAAATCAGACTTTCATGAATATGGTGGGAAACCATAAGCCATTCACTTGGTTTTCTTTGTTACTGTCCCAGGCTAATTATTGAAATACTTGACTGTTTATGTCATTAAAAAAAGAAAAAGACAAAAGTTTTGGTTTCTATATTGACACTTCAAAAAAGTTTATTAATTCAAGTGAAAACACATAGGCTGCCTAGTCTTCACTTATTTTTCTACTGTATCCCACACTCTTTGAAACCAAAAATTATGTGGTGATGATGTAATATAAGAGAACTCAGAATGATGCCTTTCTGAAGTTTCATGGGGGTTGGGGATGGAAGAGGGTGGGAGATAGGGAAAGGGTTAATTAATTATAATTAACAGTAGTAATTTGCTTTTTCATATCAAGATTTTTTTTCACAGAAGCTTGATGAAAACAATTTAACATTTGAAATGAAGTTGCAAATCATGTCTTTAAAACCAGTTTATATAGGAAAATAGATTTGTAAGGGCACATTTGTTATTTCCCCTGAAGAGCAAATCCCTAAAGTTAGAATTGAGGTTATCTTTACCAAGGACATTCTGGTTCATAATTGTTGAAAGACTACGAAAACTGATTAACTAAATTGATTTATTCTATTTTTTTTAACCACCTAAATTTTATTATTAGCTCAAAATACAGAATAGGCCTTTAAGGTATGAATCAACATATAGAAATCTATAAATGTAATTTTAAATACTGTGAACCAAAAGGAAATTTTATGGCAGAAAACACACAGAAAAACTTCATGTTCTATAGGTGGGGGAAAAAAGCTATATTTTAATCACGTTCACATTTTTATTTTTCTAGCTCTAGAAAGTTTGGGATTTGGCTCTTACATCAGTGAAGTAAAAGAAGTCCTACAAGAATGCAAGACAGTAGCGTTAAAAAGAAGAAAGGCCAGCTCTCGTTTGGAAAACCTTGGCATTCCTGAAGAAGAGTTATTAAGACAGCAACAGGAATTATTTGCAAAAGTAAGTGATACATTTTAAATTATTTCATCTGAATACTATCCTGTTTGTTGACAGAAATTGTACTGGTTTCTGAAATCACTTCTTAAATCAACATGTGTCTAGAGAATTCTCTTTCTCTGGCTAATCACTTGATTATAGAATCTGATATTTAGAGCTGGCCAGTTTGACTCAGGTTTTATAAAAGTAAATATTTACAGCAACCTGTCTTCTAAAGAGAGCCACTCCAAATAAATACTGGGATTTTACTTTGATGTATTTTCAGACAGAATGATCATTTAAAAGCCTGAAAAGTATACCTAAATGTTAAGATTTAAAATGAATGGGTTAACAAGAAAATACCTATCAGATTTTATGATAAGGAGAATACAAGGAAAATCTAATTGACATCTAATTTGTAGTTATATTGGGTCTTATTATACCTTTAAAACATTCTAATCTTATCATTTGTTAAAGAACTAATAAATAGGGGCTAAGGTTGTACACGTGTGAGGCACTGGGTTCAATACTCAGCAGCACATAAAAAATAAAGGTAATATGTCCATTTGCAACTAACAAAAACATTACAAAAAAGAACTAATAAATAGAGCAGAAAAAGGAAGAAAAGTTTTCTTCTTTCTTGCTTTTTATAGTTCTAATTTCTACTCTATTAAGGATTAGCACTAATATCTCTCTATTTTTCAAAAGGAGGTAGAGGTGGCAAGGCTGTTTTTTTGTTGTTGTTTTGTTACTTTTTTTTATTTTTTAAGAAATTGGAAGATAGTTTGGGGTTGAATACAAGTGAGATTTTTCATTAGGTACTATAATAGCCATTAGAGAACTGAGAAGTATCATTTTAGTCGAACTCTTTCAAATTAGTATCATAATTGGTCTTCCTGCAGTTATATTAGTTTGGTTTACATTAAAAAGCATTTGAAGTGGGGGTTGTAGCTCGATGGTAGAGCTCTTGCTTGCCTCATGTGTGTGGGGCCTTGGGTTTGATCCTCAGCAACACATAAAAATAAAATAAAGATGTTGTGTCCGCCGAAAACTAAAAAATAAATATTAAAAAAAAAATTCTCTGTCTCTCTCAAAATAAATAAATAAATAAAGATATTGTGTCCATCTACAACTAAAAAAAAATATTAAAAAAAAAAAAGCATTTGAAGCTGGGGCTGTAGCTCAGTGGTAAAAGCACTTGTCTCGAATGTGTGAGGCATTGGGTTTGATCCTCAGCACCACATAAAAATAAGTAAAAAGATACTGTGTGTTCATCTACAACTAAAAAAAAAAAATATTAAAAAAAAGCATTTGAGGAGGCCTGTAATCCCAGCTGCTCTGAAGGCTGAGGCAGGAGGATCTCATGTTCAAAGCCTGCCTCAGCAACGGTGAGGTGCTAAGCAACTCAGTGAGATTCTGTCTCTAAATAAAATACAAAGTAGGGCTGGGGATGTGGCTTAGTTGTCGAATGCCCCTGAGTTCAATCCCTGGTACAAAAACAAACAAAAAAATCTATTTGTCATATATATATATATTTTTATTTATTTTATTGGGCATTAGGCATGAGGTATCATTTAAACAAGTAAAAAATATAATAACTTATCAACATTTATTGAGTTTTGCCTATGTGTTGATCACATTGTCAAATAATTTACCTTTATTATCTCATTTAATCATAAGAACCTATGAAATAGATACAAAAGAGGAAAAAGCCTCTAAGGCAATCCTGAACACATGCAAATTATATTATAATCTATATTATAATACATATGAATATGAGGTACCAAAGAATGATGATTTTTTTTGCCAGGGCAGGAGGGTACTAGGGATTAAACCCAGGGGTTCTCAACCACTGAGCCACATCCCCAGCCCTTTTTTTTATTTTTATTTTGAGACAGGTCTCATTAAGTTGCTTGGGGCATGGCTCAATTGCCAAGGCTAGTTTTGAACTTGTGATTCTCCTGCCTCAGCCTCTTGAGATACTGGGATTACAAGTATGCACCACAGTGCCCCGCCAAGGAGTGATGGTTTTTTAAAAACATAAACAGCTATTATTTTATTGATTCTCTACTATTGGAGATCACTAGGGGGCGCCAAATTAAATATACATGAAAGAAAGTATATGCTTTGCTAGATTCTTTACATACCTTGCAAGATTTTAATAAAATAATGTAAATTTTATTATGTTCATTTGCAACTTAGGAAATAGACCCTTCCTTCCTTCCTTCCTTCCTCCCTCCCTCCCTCCCTTCCTCCCTCCCTCCCTTCCTCCCTTCCTCCCTTCCTCTCTTCCTTTCTTTTTCTCTTTCTTATATTGGGGATTGTATCCAGAGGGGCACTTCAACACTGAGCTAGCTACATCCCTAGTCCTTTTTAATTTGTATTTTGAGGCAGGGTCTCACTAAGTTGCCAAGGCTAGCCTGGAACTTGCATTCCTCCTGCCTTAACATCCCCTGTTGCTGAAATTATAAGGTGTGCACCACCATATATGGCTTGTCGCCATTTTCTATGTAAATTTATTTTGGAAATTTAAATAGAGTTTGATTTATCCTTGCTAGGGCAGAAAGGTAAATGAATAATTGTCTGTCTTCACCTTTTTATATTTGTCTTCACCTCTTTATCATGATAATCTGCTTTTTTTAAAAAAATTTTTTTAGTTGTTAATGGACCATTTATTTTATTTATATGTGGTGCTAAGAATCGAACCCAGTGCCTCACACATGCTAGGCAAGCACTCTGCCACTGAGCCCCTGATAATCTGCATTTTTAAATTCCTCTCTTTTTTTAAATATTTTTTAGTTTTTGATGGACCTTTATTTTATTTATTTGTATATGGTACTGAGAATCGAACCTAGTGCATCATACACGTTAGGCAAGCACGCTACCACTGAGCCTCAGCTCCTAATTCCTCTTTCTTATCTCCCTTAAATGGTGGGTGAAGATTCCTAGTATTTACTCTTATGAAGAAGATCAGCAGAGAGGTAAAATTGTGGCAGCTACCTAGTACTTCTTCCCTGGAGAAAAGTACTTAAGTTCTTAGTATGAAAGGAACTAAGTAAATGTATCTTTTTAAATTAATTTTACTTCTAGACTTTATTCAAATAGTAACACAATGACAACCTCATTTTAAGCTAACTGCAGATATTTGGAAGGGGAGAACTTTAATATATCAAGGTTGAAGTTAAGTATAAATTAATAATTTTATTGGGCTGGGGATGTGGCTCAAGTGGTAGCGCGCTTGCCTGGCATGCGTGCGGCCCGGGTTCGATCCTCAGCACCACATACAAACAAAGATGTTGTGTCCGCCGAAAACTAAAAAATAAATATTAAAAAAAAAAAAAAAAATAATAATTTTATCATGAGGAAGTAAGAATGTTAACATATGCCAGGCACAGTGACGCATGCCTGTAGTTCCAACAGCTCGGGAGGCTGAAGCAGGAGGATCACGAATTCAAAGCCTGCCTTAGCAAGAGTGAGGCACTAAGCAACTCAGTGAGACCCTATCTCCAAACAAAATACAAAATAGGGGTAGGGATGTGGCTTAGTGGTCAAGTGCACCTGAGTTCAATCCCCTGTACTCAAAAGGAAAAAAAAAAAAGCCAAAACAAACAAAAAAGAACATTAACACATAATGAAAATTTCCAAAAAGAAGCAGTGAATTAGAAAGTATATACCTTTTTTTTTTCCCCACATCCTCATTTTAGAAGATACATACTTGGGGGAGGAAGGGTGGAAAAGGGAACTACTGGGGAATGATATTGGCTAAATTATATTGTTAAGTTGTGTGTTACAAATATGTAACAACAAATCCCACAAGTATGTATAACTGTAATACACCAATAAAAAATATGAGGGAAAAAATAAGATAAGTACTTGGGACGGTTGGGTAGAAGGCAAAAGAGAAAGAAATAGTAAATACCATTGAAAATAAGAAATTTTAGAAATGCATACAAATATATTAGTCAACAACAATTTTTAATGGCATAAATACTTTTGTGTTCAGAGAGCAAAATATAAAAGCTTATATGTGCCGCAGTCTGGCTGGGCACAATCAGGAGCCACTTGTCAAAAGAAACTAACTTTATTTTTAGAACCACACACCAAACAAAACAGCTCCTCAGGAAAAATCCTCAGAGCCTCAACTGCCACCACCGGCTTTTTTCAAGCCTCTCTCTCCCCCCCCAAGCTTCTTCTCCACCTCCCACAAACCTCCTGCTCTTGAGGCCGATTGGCTGGGTCACGTGGGCAGAGCCAAAAAGTCCCCCAATGAGCAGCTCCGTGGTCTGAAAGGGCAGGGAAACAGTCCAATGAGCATCACCGCAGAGGAGCCAATCAGCTAGATGTTGCTGGGGCCGAGGAGCCAATCAGCTAGATGTTGCTGGGGCCGCTGTGAGCCAATCATCAGCCGGCAGCTGGATTGCTGGCAGCTGGAAGTTTGCTGGGGCCCCTTCGGCTGTGGCTCTCAACATATATGGAATCATGGTACCTAACAGTCAGTGAAGTTTGAAATATAAATAACACATACTTTTAGAGATCATTGAATAAACTATAAAATCAAGCACCTTTTCGATAAAGCTTTAATGGAGTTAAATTCTTTGAAATTTTATTCTGTCACAAAATTATGCAGAGCAGGTATTCTCAAATTGATTAAATTAACATCTTCCCCATCCCCACAGTTTTCTTGTGAACATTTAAATGTTTTTAGTGAAGCATTCAGTCTCTTTTGAACTCTTTTGAGTATTCCTGCCATAAAAATAAATATTTCTGTTGGCAGGGTTGGGGATGTTGTTTGGGGGATTGAACCCAGGGGTGTTTTACCATTGAGTTATATCTCAACTTCTTTTTAAATTAATTTTGAGGCAGTCTCATTAGGTTTCTGAAAGTCTCACTAAGTTGCTAAGGCTTGCCTTGAACCTGGGATCCTTCTGCCTTAGCCTCCATAGTTGCTGGGATCAGAGGTGTGTGCCACGGCCAAGCTAATGATAAATATGCCTATGTATTAGAACTGTGTGCCTATTTCTTTATAAATAGGTAGAAATAGTTATTAGAATAGCTGGTTTCTAATTTCTAAAACAAAAGGAAGCTTACTGTAAAAATTGTCTTTATCTACTAAATACCTTTAGTCTTTTCCTTAGTCTCTTCTTCTGACTTTAACCATATACAGGTCTCTCTTCCATCTGTTGCTATAATGATCTATGGTACCATCTTTTGAAAATGTATGCCACTTTTTCTTGCAGTTTGATTTATGCCCTACCACAGAGATATCACCAAATCGAGTGACTTTTTTCCCCCTCAGGTGTTCACTTTTTTTAGTTTTTGTTTTGTTTTGTTTTGTTTTTGTGGTATTAAATAGAGATGGAACCCAGGGGCACTCTACCACTAAGCCACATCACCAACTCTATTTTTTTAAATTTTGAGATAGGGTCTTACTAAGTTGCCTGGGCCAGCCTTGAACTTGAGATTCTGCTGTCTTGGCCTGCAGGTAGCTGAAATTACAGGTGTGTACCACTGTGCACCTGGCAAGGTTTGTTTGTTTGTTTTTAATAACAAAATAGCCATTTACCTAGACATCTTCCTTTATTAACTTTCGATACTGTGGTTGCTTAGATACTATTCTCCAAGATAATAATTTTTCTTTTCTTCTACTTCATTACCACCACCCTCACCCAAATCACCTGATTCTGGCTCTTGAGTCAACAAATCTTAAATTAAAATTCAATTGACAGGGCTGGGGATGTGGCTCAAGTGGTAGCGCGCTCACCTGGCATGCGTGCAGCCCGGGTTCGATCCTCAGTACCACATACAAACAAAGATGTTGTGTCCACTGAAAACAAAAAAATGAATATTAAAATTCTCTCTCTCTCTCTCTCTCTCAAAAAAAAAAAAACATAATGAAAGAATACCATGAACAACTTAAAAAAAAATTCAATTGACATATGGGTCCCCACTGATATGAGATATATATATATATATATATATAGTGCTGCAGATGTACAAAGATGAAGAATATATTGTTCTTATTTGAAACTAAGGATATCTTGTAGGTGAGAGAAAATAGATACACTAAAAATTGTAATATAATACTGTTTTGATAAGGAAGATAACTATAATATAAGGCTAATTAGAAAAAGAGATCTCATGTCAGAGATATTATATCAGATTTTGGGGGTATAAAAGTGTGCCAGCTAAGTAGTTATCTTAATCTAAAAACCCATTTTCTATGCTGTGTTTTATTACTAGACCTAGCATATTATGCCAACCCCACTTCCTACTCCCCTTATCTACAGAGAATCCATAGGTGATGCCTGAAACCACAGATATTACCAAATCCTACACACAAAAAACTTGTGACAGCCACAACTAATTTCTGAAGCAAAAGGAAGCTTACTATAAAAATTGTCTTTAACTTCTATACCTTTAGTCTTTTCCTTAGTCACTTCCTCTGACTTTAACCATATGCAGGTCTCTCTTCCATCTGTTGCAATAATGATCTGTGGTACCATCTTTTGAAAATGTATGCCACTTTTTCTGATAACCAAGACAGCTATTAAGTGAGTGATAGGTGGGTTAGCATATACAGCATGGATATGCAGAGGGATGATTCACATTCTAGGTGGGGTAAAGCTGGACAATGTGAGATTTCACCATGTGCATAATGTCACACAATTTAAAATTTATGAATTGTTTATTTCTAGAGTTTTCTGTTTATTATATTGGTTGACTATAGGTAACTAAAACAATGGAAAGTGAAACTATAGATGAGGGGATTTCTGTACTCTGCAAACCACATCTGCTTTCTAACCTATCTCCTCATTATCTCCTGCCACTGGAGGGTCTCTTGAGGGATATTACAAGGCTAGAAAAAGTAAAAGTAGCAAGTTGTTTTTCCTTCCTCTTGGCTTCCATTTCCTTTGAGCAACCCAGGAACACTTCTTCACCCTGGCTGCATGAGTTTGTCTTGTAGCAAGAACTGAATCCAGTTTGCATTTTCTCTAATACCATAACTGCACCTTCCTCCTCAAGGTTGTGGATCTCAACCCTTGGGTCCTTCTCTAACCTCAGATATGTTAGTACCAACTAATTTATGCCTCTTCTTCAGAGGTTTGAGTTTCAGTTCCATGTGGTTGTCTCTCTAAACTTCTGAGTTTTAAAATTTCTAGCTTCTTCCCTAGTTTTAGGGTTGTTAGCTGCTCCCTATATTTGCCATCTCCTTGGTATCTTGTCAATTACCAGTTACCAACTTTATACTTAATTAATAAACCTTTATATTAAATTCTTTTTGTTCCCATAGTGTGACTTCTATTTCCTGATTATACATCAACTGATACTAGAAGGAGAAAATAGTATTTCAATGTGACTTGAAGGAAGGGTCTAATTTCATAGGTAAAAATTAGGAAATTTCAAATAAAATGAATACCAGAAAGAGTAAAGGTAACAAAGATAAAGTATGGTGTAAATTTGGGAAACATTTTATGTTCTATGGTTTTTTGTTTTGTATTTTTCTTTAAGCATAAGAGTAGGGAATTATGATAGAAATTTGGAAAGAAATATCAGGGTAGCTAGTGCATTCATGTGTAATACTTTTTTCCCCTAAGACTTAAAGATATTGTACTAGAGAACTTTTAAGCCACAGAAATAATTTTTATATTAACATGTTTATATCAAAATTGTAATCAGATGAGGGGATAGAAAAATTAAAGGGAAAGAAGCCAAAGAAAGAATATTTTGATTTCTGTAAACTTTTTCAACTTCTTCATTGAACCTAAAGATCAGAGTTCTTGTTTTCCAGATGTACCTTAAATATACAGTAGTTGGAAAATATCCAAGTTTATAGTAACTGAGTCTGTTAATTGGCTTACTTTACCTTTAACCAAAGTATATACATTGAGGGTTAAAAGATTGTTTACTTTTATGTGTTTGACGTTTAGGCAAGACAGCAGCAAGCAGAATTGGCTCAACAGGAATGGCTTCAAATGCAGCAGGCTGCCCAACAAGCCCAACTTGCTGCTGCCTCAGCCAGTGCATCCAATCAGGCAGGATCTTCTCAAGATGAAGATGATGATGATGATATCTGAAATTCACCAGCTGAGTTTGTGTTTCTTCTATAAATGTTTTTTCTTGCACAACAAAACAGTGAAAGAAATGCTTATCTGTAATTTTGTATACATCTTGGTGGACTTGCCAATTGGTATTCTAGGGATGTCTGCTGTTAAGTTTCATCTATTGTGTGCTATACATGTAAAAACTGTATCTTTGAACTATTGAAAATTTAAGGTTCAGAATATCAATTTTGAATTTTTAATGGCGTTTATGAAATTTTAGATAGCAGTGAGCCCTTTATTTGATCAATAAACAGTGTTACAAAAACTTCAAGTTTATAAAAATACAGTGGAATTTATAAAGAAGTTCTTACTCTGCATTTGCATTTCCTCTGCCCTTTTAACCAAATTAAAATTGGGAATTTTAAATTGAGGTGGGGTGCAGTGTGATGCAGAATAAATTGGATCAGGTTGGTGAAAAAAAGAGTTCAGTTATGTATTATCTGAATTTTTTGTCTTTTAAAATGAGTATATACACAGGCAATAAACATACTCAGATAAATATACTTATTTAGAGAGTCCTCAATACAAGACATTTAAAAACTAGGAAGGGAGTGTGTGTTCAATAGTACTTGTATAAATTTGATGAGTTATGTTTTTTTGTTTTGTTTTGTGTAGAGGTGAAAGCTAGTTTTATTATAGCATAATTTATCTTGAGCTACACTATTACATTTCAAAGACTGCGCAATTTTGAAGACTGTCATTATTCTTACTATTTCACTCCAGTTCAATACTTGTTATAGTATTACTTGCTTAGTCCATTCATGTTTATATTGTTCAAGTATATAGGTGGGACTTGTGAAACAATTGCTTGGTTCCGTTGGTTTAACTGAGGTTCATGAATATTCAAACCTTTGCTAGGGAAAAGAAATGAAAGCTTATGGATATGCTTGCTATGAAAGAGGGCTTTTTAAAAAATTTAACTTGTAGTTGTAGTTTACTTATTGTTTTTAGCATTACATTTACATTTTCTTGACTAGATGGCCTAGAGAATCCCATTGCTACCTTTTGAAATGACATTGTCTCCATCATAATTGAGTAATAGCTTTAAAAAATTGATTCTTTTTAAAGAAAGTGTCATAATTGATCAGCTGTATATGAAACAAATAGTTTCAACCTGCTCATTAAAGGGAAGAATCTTTAATCTGGTTCCAATAAATAAAGTATAGTATTGATTATTATAGGAATTCAGCATATTGGAGAAAAATGGCACATTATATTTTGGAAACAGAAAGGAAAAGCTACTTAAAATAACATGAAGTAATTAAATTCCTATGTCAGTTGCCAAATCATTTAAATTTCTATATTCCCCAAGCCCAAAAATAGATTCTAGCTGCCATGATTCCAATTTTAATTGGAGAGCTAAATAAGTAAAGTTTGTAAGTATTAGATGTCTTAATCATATTTTGCATTTTAGAAAAAGGGAAACATCGTTGTATACTTATCAAATACACTTCCCCCATATAAGAAAAAGGTTAATAATTTTGCTGAATGTTACTTCAAGCTACTTCCTGGATGTCATATCCATGAAGTACGTTTGGATGAGATGGAATTGTTTTTTAAAAAGTTTAAGTACCAAAGGTAGTCTAGTCTAGAGAAATAATAAGTTAATAAGTATTGGCTTTTCCAATTTGTACTGTAACATTCTTATACTTTTTTTTTTTTTTTTTTTTTTTTTTGGAGTGTATCTATTTCTCAAGTAAACAACTTAGATATTTTTCCATGCCTTTTTCTTTCTGATGCAGAGTTCAGGTTAATTAATATTTTACTGCATCTGATAATGTATTATATGTTTGAAGCCTATGACTTTTCATTTTGACATTCTTGTGATTTCATATGCTGTATTCTTCAAGCAATAAAATTCTGATGTGTTTTATAAATTGTTTTTATATTTAATGATCTATAGGGAGATATCTATCACTATTTTTACTAGTTTCAGGAATGTTAGGCCCAAAAGACATTTTGGTCATTTGGTGTATTTCTTGTTTGTTTACTGTTATTTCAGAAAATGTGATTTTACTTGTGTTTTTGTAATTTACAGCAAGGCATAACAAAACTAATTAAGCAGTATTTTATTTTTAGCATTTTAAAAGTCACTGTTATATGTTGCCAGTCATTAAACTTTTTAGTCTTTGGAGACAAAAACAAAATCTTCAGAGTTTTTGAGAAATAAAATTGTCGTTTAGTAAAGATTTTTTTCCATCCCCTTGAATATCTATCTTTTTCAGCAGATTGTAAGATTGATAAGCATTGAAAAAAGGCACCAATTTTTAAAATTGCATATACCTATATACATACTGGAGAGTGCACAAATAAAGGTCTGTACAAATTAAATACATTCAGCATCAGCCCTCAGATTAAGTAGACACAGAGCATTATGAACAACCTAAAAGCACCCGGGCCCTTACCTTAATACTGTCTTCTTCTTCCTTAGAAGTAACTACTATTCTCACTTAAAGTCATAGATTAGTTTTGCCTGCAACACAAATTTGTTCTCATACAGTCCTAGAGATGAGAAGTCCTAAATCAGGACTTTCATTAGGTCAAAATCAAGGTATCCACAAGGTTGATTCCTTAGGATTGTGAGAGGAGAATCCTTTTTGATGCTTTTTTTCAGATTCTAATGACTGCCATTACTGGGATTATAGCCCCTTCTTCCATGTGTCTGCTCATATTCCTACATCATCTTCTCATACATAGTCAGATCTTTCTTCTCTCTTACATTTATGACACTTTTTTTAACCTTGAAAGGAATTTATGGCTCCTCCAGATATTTCAGAATAATCCTCCCATCTCAAAATTCTGAATTTGATCACATGTGCAAAGTCTCTTACCATTTTAAATGATAGTCACAGGTTCTAGAGATTAGGATCTGGACATCTTTGGAGGCTATTATTTAACCTACCAAAGTGACATTGACCAATATAGTTGCATATATTTGTAGTTCTTTCATTATCTTTGCTGCATTTAGTGTTCCATTTATCCATTTCTTATTACATCCAAAATTTACTATCCATTCTATCCATACTATCTTTGATGAACATTTGAGGAATTTCCAGTTCTGGGCTATTAGGAATAGTGCTAGTGAAGAACATTTTTATACACTTTTTACTTATATGAATGGGTATATTCATATAAGTAAAAAAGGAGGGGAATTTCTGGGTCATGGGGTGTGCATATTTTTAATTATAGTATGTGCTGTTGAATTGTTTTCCTCAGTGTTTGTAAGAAGGCACCATTTTAATATGTAGCTAAACAATGAATTACCCTAATGATCTAGGGGCCTAACAATGTTAGTGGATTTCTCAAAACACCTAAATTATATCAAATGAGTTATATTTCTACAGCAGGTCTGCTTCTATTTAATATAAGAGGAAAGTAAAAACAGAAGTATTTGTTCTTATTACTGATAGTAGTAGTATGCACTCATTAGGTTATTGCTCCTCAAATGTAATAGAAGTTTAAGGTAATTCTAAATAATAGGTTGAGTTATAAGTAGTGTGTTGAGTTGTAGAAAAATATGTGATTTAATTTTTCAGTTAGGTTTTAAAATTTTGGTTATAATCTTATTTAAATAAATATACAGATGTTTCCTCATAAAGTTCTCTAAATTATATCTGTCAAACTTATAGATGACTGTGTGACCATTAAAAAAAGTATTCAGTCCAGATAGTATGCATAGGCACTCGCCTTCTTTTGTCTTCAATTTGGATTTTTTGTTTCCTTCTCTGACCCTGGCCCCTTAGCCAGAAGTCCTGTTCTACCACGCTTTCTTTTTCTTCTTACCCAGGGTCAATAAGTATCACAGGTAAGATTACCTAAAGTGAAGAGAATGACAACATTATAAGCAGCCTCTCACCAAAGTGTTACCAGTCCTTATCCAGTTTCCTTAAAATAAATGAAAAGAGAAAGTAGGGAATAAAAGGAGAAAAATTTTAACTTATGACCTGTTACTACTGTAAATCAAGAAACTTAATAAAGCCTTAGAACAGAATATCTCAACTTCAGTATTATTAGCGTTCATTATTTTTTGTGTGGGGGGGGTGGGGGGAGGCTGTTTTGTACATTGTAGGGTCATTAGCAACATCCTTGGCTTAGACCCACTACATGCTAGTAGTGTAAAGGTCAGGCGAGCGTCAGAGGAAGAGACCACCAAGAGACTGTCTCATGCAACAGCAAAGGGTTTATTGGGGTCCAGCATGCTGGCGCTCAGAGCTCACTTGAATAGAGCAAAGAGCCCTGAGAA